CTCTCTCTCTCTCTCTCTCACTCACACACACACACACACACACAGAATTATTTCTACAAATGCTTGTGCATGACTTGAATTATCCTTTTAAAAATGAAATAATTTATGTATTACCCGTTTAATTTTTCTGCTTTGTTAGTCTGGTACAACCGCATATGTTATTCATAGTCAATAAACAATATTTATCAGCTAGAAATTGCTCTTTGTGAGCGTCGTCTCTATGGTTATGGAAACTCATTGGACAAAAGATGTAAAAATGAGCCTTTATATATATATATATATAAAATAATTTTTCATTTTTTATGTAACAACATATAAATATAGTTCCATATAGTTTAAAAAAAAATATTATACAAATATATACAAATGTATGCAGGTCTCTATGGTTATGGAAACTCATTGGACAAAAGATGTAAAAATGAGCCTTTAAATCAGCATGAGCTCATGGATCTGATGAAGATCAGCTTCAGGTTTCATGTTTTTTCTCTGCGTCTGATTCTGTGATTTAATCTGCTCTTTCTCAGCCAGAAGAGGAGAGCGTTAAAGCGAAGGTAGATGTGCGTGTGACGCTCTGTGTGCTCGCGCCTTTGTGTCTCTGATTTCACTAGAACTGACTGTGAAATCGATTCAGTGATGATGTCTATATTCAAAGAGCAGCAGCTCTGGATCAAAGCCTTCCGCTGTCAGTCACTCGCGCACAATCTGCCTCTGGCTGCTCTGAGCGAAAAAAAACATCTGAAAGACAACAAACCGCATTTTAGATTCGTTTTAACATGTATTTAAGAGCGATTATTTCACAGAGCTGCTCAATGCCTACTAACACATATTATACACATATTAATGCATGTGTGCGTTTGTGTGGTTGCTCTTACAAATTAGATTACCAAATGCAATTTTGTGGTATGTTTATTAATTAAGCTATTTCATATAATTATTAAATTGTATTTTTAAAGATAAAAAATAAATGCATGTGTTTTTGTTAGCAATTAAAATATTTCCTATAATTATTAAATATTTTCAAGATAAAAAATAAATGCATTTATTTTTGTTAGTAATTAAAATATTTAATATAATTATTAAATATTTTCAAGATAAAAAATAAATGCATGTACTTTTTGTATTTTTGATTAATATATTTTATACTATTATTAAATTATCTTTTTTAATTAAAACAAATGCATGCATTTTTGTACTTTTTATTAATAATTAAATTATTTCATATAATTATTAAATTATCTTTTTAATGAAAACATATGAATGACAAATACATGTAGTATTTGCGTGGCTTTAATTAATTAATTTATTTTTATTCTGAAAAATGCACATGATACACTATTTGAAATATTTTTTTGTTTTGTTTCTAGGCTCCGAGCAGCGCTGCAGAGACCAAACCCAGCACTGGTGCGGTGCACGACGCCTCGGTGAATGTAAATGCAGATCCAGAGAGAGCCAAACAGCTGACGGCTTTAGTGGCAGAACAAGTACGAACACACACACACACATCAAATAAATATACTGAAATTACTATTTATGCATTCATGTTTTGGCTCTTCAATATGATATTGAAGAGCCACTAGTGGACCATTTGAATGTCCGTACTCCGCCCTTTTTGTACAAAAAACGAAAATATTTAAAATATATATATTACAGATTAAATTACAGTATATACATATTTATTACATATTATTCATATATATTACAGCTTTTTACAAACTAAAAATAAATGTACAAATTGAATATATATTTTTACTTTCTAATATAAATTAGTTTTTTGACCCAAGTGACCCAAGAAGACACTGACATTGAGATTAACATTTTAAATATTTTTTTCTCATTTTATTTAAATTAATTTGTTCTCTCGTTTTATTAAATCTGAAGTCATTTTAATTCCATATTTTAACAGTGCCATGACCTGAGAACATACTGACATTGAGATCAATATTTTCTGAATATTTTCTCATTTTATTCAAGTATTAATGGAGTTAAATGGTGTGATATTTATTTTTTTTATTCAGCTGTACACTAACCGCTCGTGTTCTTTAGTTAAATACAGGTGTGTTTAACGGTTAGTAGTGCTGGTTTGTGATTAATTGCTGTGTGTGTGTGTGTGTGCATGTGTGCGTGCGTGCGTGCGTGTGTGCGTGTGCGTGTGTGTGTGTGTGTGTGTGTGTGTGCTTGTGTGTGTGTGTGTGCGTGCGTGTGTGTGCGTGTGTGTGTGTTTCAGGGCAATAAACTACGAGGCCTAAAAGCCCAGAAAGCCGACAAGTCTGTTATTGACGATGAAGTCGAGAAATTACTGCAACTGAAAAAACAACTTTCTCTAGCGGAGGGCAAGAACCCGGAGCCGGCCGCTCAGAAAGGAAAGAAGAAGTAAAAAGGTGAACATGAGGGAAAAAAAATCCATCATGCAGGGAATATTTTCAGGGCTTACTGCACTATCCATCCACTCCTATAAAAATGCAACCTATCCTTTTTAAAATGCAATGAAGTCTGTTAAATTATCTTTTTAAAATGCAATAAAATCTATGTATTTCTCACGGTTTCTTGTTACTCCGAAACAACCATATTTTATTCACACAATCAATAAACACAAAGACAAAAAAAAATCTCAAGACTCAGTTCATTTTAAGATTTTAATAACAAAATGAGTGTAATACAATTCCGTATTCAGTAAGGCTAAATCAAATTCAGATAAAAATGTTTCTACTCTAATACAGTAATTCGGCATGCACGTTTATTGTAAGATTAGGAAACTACAATATAAGGTAAATTATGACATGTCGTGATGATACACATATAGAAAAATAGGCATGAGGCAGAGAGTATGTTATAAACTGCTAGCTCTAAAAATTCTGGAAAAGTTTCAAGAGAAGGAAGTGAGAGCAATATCCCCGTCATCTGAACACACACACACACACACTCTTAGAGGCCTCGGGTTGATGGTGAGAAACGCTCACAATCGTTCACTATAACAGTCCTGAGCTACTAATCTCTGTCAACTAGGGGTGAATTTACACGGTTAAAGCCCTTCGTTAACACATGACGTGAATTAAAACTGGCTGCTTACAATGAAATGCACCTACAATCACCGTCACTGATACAATCAGGTCTCTTCTTCTTCTCTTTATTATTGCAGTTCTGCCTTTTCTCTCGTCATCTCTGATACATTCCCTCAAGACTCCTCGGCACTGATGAACAATCAGCTTTCAATTACACAGAAAGTTGATTAACCTTTGGGTAGTTTAATAAACGTTGGTGCATTACAGCGCTATTATCAGGCCAATCTCACAAAACCGGTCAAAAACAACCCGAATGCAAAGAAAAAAAGGCGGTTTTAGTAGCATTACAATTTTTTGCATTATGATTATTTTTTAATCACAATCGCACGCATTGATTAATGTAATGCAAAATATCTAATTCTTTAATTTGTTCATTTTAAAAACATTCATAAAGAAGCAGTAGTACTTGTTTTACGGGCTTTCATTTTTGCTGGTTTAAATGTTTAAAACATTGCATTAAAGTCATTTTAATTTACTGCAAAAAAGCTTTTGTAAAATTAGGCTTCATTTATCTCATTTCTTATTTGCTTTTGATATTTTTATTGCTGTAATGCAAGTTATTCTTTATTCGTAATGTCATTCATTACGCTCCCGTCGGCTCTTCTTCCCGGGGGACGGGGAGCACAGCGTGCCTCCTCCTTTGTCACCGGCCCGCTTTCTCTTTCCTGGTCGCGCAGGAGGGGATGGCGGCGGGGAGCGGTTGAGGAAGGGCGAGCAGGACGCCGAGGAGCAGGATGACGATGTGTCTGGGACCGTCAGGAGCTCCTCCTCGCTCGTGGATGGCGACGGAGGCGCGTGATGCGAAATGTGGTACCCGGCGGTCACCATCGTCTCCACCGACCCGACGCCGCCCTCGCTGAGGAGCTCGAAGAACTCTGGCGGAAGCAGGTCTCCTCCGGATGAGGTGTGCTCCGAGTCGCCGCCGCCTCTCCGGTCACCCTTTCGCGGCGGCGACTGGACGACGGGCGGTTCATCGGTGACCCGTTGCACCCCGTCGCCCCAAACCTGCCCCTCCGTCAACCAGGTGAGCGAGCAGCTCTCCAACACATCCAGAAACTCTGGCTCCTTCTGCATAACAAGAGAAATCGTTAGAACTGTGAAGTCTACAAGACGCGACCGTTGAGCGCCGTTTGACGTTACTGACCTCGGAGCAAGGCGGGGCTCTCGTGACTTTGGCCCCGCCCGCGTCGGAGCCCAGTATATCCTGTAGGTCTTCATACCACGCCTCCAACTCTGCACCACACGTCGGCCCCACGCCAGGGGGGCACAGCCACTCCGCAGTCATCGCACCAATCAGTCGCTATCCACAGACACAACACGATATGCTCCCACACCTAGAACACCAGACCTGAAAAACAGACAAACTGTCTAAAAGAAGTGGAAAACCACCTCTGTATGCTGTACTGCGCTGCACGTCTAGTGGGAGCTTCGGTGCATCAGCGGAGTCTAGCTTCACCTGCGCCGGCGGGTTTGGGAATAGCTGATTTATCTGGGTGACCCTCTATTATACGCGACATTAAGATCGACTGCTTGGTCACCCGGTGCAACAAGGACACATAGCGGCCAACCAGCATTACTGCACAACAAACAACAATCCCAGAGCTTTGAAACAGTGCATGCATGAATTGAGAATGTTTGGTTATTATTATATTTTTTTGGTCTGTTTAGTGTTGTTTGTTGTTTTTTATTTAAATCATTATGTTTAGTTATTAAATTAAAAAGTATTTAAACTAATATATGTATAAGCTATAAAAATGCTCACCTTAAACGTGTCTCTTGACAATCAAGTTTGAATGTGAGTTGTTGGCGGTATATTGTCCCAATGATTCTAGAGAAATAAAACATGGAACAGCTCAAGCCACAGGTCATGGTTCCAAAACTATTGCAAAACTATTTAAGAATAAAAAAAATCATTCTCATGCAAAACACATTTCAGCTGAGAAACACACACAAGCCATAAAGAACAATGGAAAAACATAAAGGACTTTTGGATCTTGATCAGATGTTCATTCAAATGACCCATAGCGATTATTGATTCTTTAATCTTTAATCTAAAATTAGGTCATTGTATTTTTTATGTAAACAAATGCGCATTATGTGCTCGATGGCGCCCCCTGCGTGAGTCAAAACAACCCAGAGACTCGTTCTCAACACACCAAGACGTTCAAGTTCAGCTGAAAAAACATCCAGAACTCATTTCTGAGTTAGAAATACGATCAGCGAAGGACAATCGAGCTACTTTAGATGTCCGCATGAGAATGAAAACAGCCCTAACACAGAGACCTGAGGCACTCCTGTGGTTTATTGTTTTTTTAAACATAAATCTTAAAGCGGAGTGAAGCGACATAACCAAAAACTATTGTTTTTCTATTATTAATCTGTCAATAAATCGTTTAAGGATGTTGTGCCAGTTATTTGCTGTCTGGCTTACTCCAACAGCGACTAAATCATAAATCGGTTATTTTAAAACGACTTAAAATTAAACGCTTAAGTAGTTTAAGCGAATTTTCTTTTAATTGCGCCCATCTGGAGCGGCGCTTTACAAAACTGACAGCGAGCCAATGACGTCAATGAATCAAAGTACAGGAGTGAGAAAACAAAGGGTTTATAAATAACGCTTTTAAAGCACTTTAGCGATGTAAAAACACAACGGGCTGTCCATTACGACCGCATGCGTTAGGTTTCTTGAAGTGTACAAAGTTGCGTTCCGCTGGCGAGCGATGTAACAAAAACCGTTCCAAATCAAACGTGCGCTACAAAGTTGCCGCGAGCGTAAGAAAGTGACAGCTGTCATCGCGAAGTAAAGTTTCGAAGCAAGTGACTCTAACGTAAATATAATTAAACAGGAACAAAAAGCGCAGCAGTGTTGCGTTAAATAAAGAAAACGGACGTTCAAATGGAAAAAAAAGTTGAGCCAAAACATGCGATGACACTCACCCTTTTCTTTTTATTATTTCTTTTCCTCGGCTGTTTCGGATTCAGGGTCTGCGTGTGTTTTTGTAGAGGTTGGTGATAGCTCATGTTAACCATTGTTCAGTTGAAGTCACCGAGTGTGGATTTCGGAAACTCCCGGGGACATTTATAGAGTGACTCCAACCGAACTCTGGGGGAAGGATCTCTTAAGTGCAACCTAATGGAGATTATGGGAAACTGACAGGAGATGGTCGGTAGCGTGGACCAATCGCGCGAGGCGGTGGAAATTCTTCTGCTTAGAGACATCCAATCAGCAGCCGCGCTGGGCGGGAGGGGCGGGACTTGATGACTTTGCTGGTTGTCTCGCTCCGCGAGAGTTTGTGTGAGCAGGAAGATGTGATGCAGTCATAAGACGGCCAGGACGAATTTGGGGCGTAAGGGAGTCACATGAAAGGAATGATGCAATCGTTGGCAACCGGTTTCTAGTTGGAGATAAGACTAGCAGAGCCCCAGCATGTTTTATTAAACAACCTTTCGTTAAAAAGAAAAAAAGTGGCGAGCTACTTTATAAGGATGTAGGAAAATGTTTCCATTTTTGCTTGCGTTCGCATATGCGTCTATAAAAATAGGCAACGTTAATATCCGCGGTCGTCGTGTGATGCATTAGTTCTTTGCTCTTTTTTAATCTTTAATAACCCCTCTCTAGTGACCCGAGGCGATTATTTCTCGTTTGCAAATGCATCCAGTTGAGCACTATGGAATGAGGATATTCCAGAGGAGCACCTCACACTTTTCCCTCCAGACAACATTCACAAGCCGTATAAACCACACAGAGACCGCACCAAACCATTCAAGAACTCGAATGGTTACGCTATAGCACTGTATTGTTCAACACACCTATTTATGATCACCAGATGAGCCCATAAAGTGATGTTGAAATGGTAAAGGACAGTATTTAGTTCACAGGTTAGTCTTGATGCGTCCATGTAGTATTTTTCCCAACATGGATCCTATAGCCCATATATTGCACTTAAAGTGTGAAGGTTTCAAGACATTATTCTAGTTTTCAGAATCCTAATTTATTATAGACATAAGTGTGCTGACATAACGTTTTAAATGGCATGCTTTACTGCAGTGAACTGTAAAATGTCCATGGTGTAAAGCAGAACCAATGTTACCGCCCTAAAAAGACAGACTTTCCCAACAGGGATCCTATAGCCTAGATAGGGCACTCGAAAGTGTGGATGTTTTGAAGCTTTATTCTAGTTTTCAGAAAGCTGTCGTTTGGTTATCCAAATTTATTATATAGACATAAGTGTGCCGACAGAACGTTTTAATTGCTTTTAAATGATATGCTTTACTGTAAAATGTCCATGGTTTAAATCAGAACCAATGTTACCGCCCTAAAAATACATATTTTCCCAACATGGATCCTATAGCCTAGATAGTGCACTCGAAAGTGTGTATGTTTTGAAGCTTTATTCTAGTTTTCAGAATGCTGTCATTTGGTTATCCAATGTATTGGACAATTTCCCCCAACATGGGTCTTAAAGATTGAAAGTGTGGCTGTTTCCAAACATCATTCACATGGAGTGACCCGTAACTCGTCCAGGTTTAATCCGAACCCATGGATCTGCAGCAAAGACAGTATTTTCCCAACATGGCTATAACCCTATAACAGGGGTGTCCAAACTACGGCCCGCGGATGAATGTTAAGCGGCCCGCAGCTGTTTTAATAGTCTATATTAGGCCTATATATGGCCCGCCAAGCTTAATTTACAAAATAGGCCTATGCAGTTTCAAAATGTCAACACAAGATGGCAGCACTAAATTTTAGACCAGATGTATAGCAGTAAAACGCCAGTGATATCAATTTGATAACTCATATGCGCTCTCATTTCTTTAGCGCACGCGAATTCCTAAACGCGTCAAAAGCGGAAGAGCGCGACTCGTTTATCCGGCCCCCTTTAGGAAAAGTTTGGACACCCCTGCCCTATAACCTAGATAAGACCGCTGTTGTGGTTTTGCGTAGATTTCACCGATGCTCAATGCAATAAAATGATGGAAGTGATCAACGGCACACTGTTTAATTGTTTAAAATGATATATTTTGTTAAGTACAACATTGGCTGACCTGGCTAACTTTAATTGAATCCTTAGTTAAACAACTACACCGTTATACACTCTTAAAAACAAAGGTGCTTCAAAAGGTTCTTCAAGCGATGCCACAGAAGAACCATTTTTGGTTCCACAAAGAGCCATTCCATTCAGTCAAAGGTTCTTTAAAGAACCATCTCTTTCTTACCTTTTTATAATCTGAAGAACCTTCTTTCGCCACAAAGAAGCTTCTGTGAAACAGAAAGGTTCTTCAGATGTTAAAGGTTCTTTATGGAACCATTTAGACAACAAAGGTTCTTCTATGGCATCACTGTGAAGCACCTTTATTTTTAAGTGTATACTGCTCCGATCTCACCATTCATCTTGTATGATCATTGGGAATAAATGATGGGAGTGAGGTGTTTAGCTACTTAACAGGTTCTGTTTAATTGCTTGAAGTGATGTATTTTATTAGCTACAACACGTGGTGACCTGTCGGTCAACTGATGTCACCAGGCTCTGTATTCTGAAACTCTTCCAAACACAAGAGTTGAGTGAGTTGAGTAGCATGGTGCAAAGCGTGCAATGTATTGCCTAGCAACAGCGCAAGTGGGATGCGCGTAAGGCGCGTAAGGTGAAAGCTCGAATACTGTTTCCAGGAGCTCGCGCTGAGACGCTACTAACACGTCACGATCGGCTGGCTGTTGCTGTGTAGTCTCCCCGCTGCCTAATGCTATCCCCTTCTATTGGCAGGTTATGCTTTTATTCCCCAAAGTTGTGTTTACGCGACATTCCTTTGAAGTTCGGACAGGTTTAGCTCTCACTAACTCCCAAACTTTGTCGAGTTAACCTGCCTTCAACGCTGTAGGAGGTTGATCTGATTTTTATTTTACAGCGAATCCCATTTCTGTTTTACAATAGCAAACATCTCCTCAGAATATGATTTCCCACATCTTTCCTCCACACTAAGTAGGTTTTATCTGCAATTATACGGGCGAACCATTTTTTTGTTTTCTCAGCTAACTGACACAATAAGGCCAATAAAGACATGCGTGTGTGTGTGTGTGCAATCATCATTTTAATGCAAGACGGAAAGATATCTTTCTCTCAGGATATTCTCGCCTCCAGCTCACTTGGATTAAATATTGCGCATTTGCAGATTAAGTGCACGAACATCTAAGGTTACCGGAACGATCGGATTTCATCTAAATGGCATTTTTGAGTAGTTTGAGGCTGATCATAAAAAGTACAAAAACCTTAAAATTGATTTTACATTTACCGACTGCACAGAACAAAAAAAAGGTAACACTTTACTTGAAGGGGTGTGCATAAGACTGACATGGCACCTTCATAATCATGACATGACACGTCATGAATATGAATGAGGTTTTATGCATGTTTATGTCATTAAGTGTCATTCGCTCAGTTATGTCATTTTTAATGCAAATATGACATTATTTGACCTAACCCTACCCCTACCCTTACCCCTAACCATAGCCCATAACAAAGACATCTCAAACAATGTCATCTTTGCATAAAAAATGACATAACTGAGCGAATGACACTTAATGACAGCTGTCATAAGCATGCATAAAATCCCTTCATATTCATGACATGTCATGATTATGAAGGTGTCATGTCAGTCTTATGCACACCCCTTCAAGTAAAGTGTAACCAAAAAAAAATAAAAAAGCGACTTTGTTATATAAATTATGGCCATTGAGAAGAGACTGGTTTATATCATTTGAACTTATTGACATATGACAGGTTTCTCAAATTAATATCGAACATCTGCAAAAAAACTCTCTGTAGAGAAATAACAGCTATATTGCATAGTTCTAAAACAACCCCAGCACTCTTGGTTTTTCTCAGCGAGCAGCTCTCGCGCTCCTCCAAGCGGACGTGGAATTGTACGGAATTCCCGACCCGACTGCGCATGCGCGGACGAAAACTCCATGATTATTTTTTTTTGGCACGGGATCCTAAGGAAAGATAGGAACTTGGAAACGAAGATAAACTGAAAGCAGCATCACAAAGGCATTACAGCACACAGTAAAGACGCTTGGGAGCGTTGAATGAAGCGATCGCACGCTCCGCGGCCGAGCAGGATTCACGCGAAATTGGACGACAATGCACGGGGCGCAATAAAACCAAGCGTTATTGCTCTTTGTTTTTAAGCAGGACGGCTCGGATGTGGCTAAAAATCACACGGCGTTAATAACAGCTCCCGCAACGGCGACATTTGCGACTCAAGTCCGTCTTGACGCTTGTTCAGTCTTCAGTCTGCGCCACGAAGAAGCAGGAAACTTCGTAAACACAGAGGTACGTAACGTTAGCCCGCGAGCTACAGAAAGCTAACAGCGCGTCTACGCGACGCGACAAACTAGAACGCTTCCGTTACAATGTTATCAAGACCGATACGTTGGTTATAATCGCGGTGTTATTACGTGTCCAGTAAGCTTACAATACAAATAGGATGTTTAAGAATGGGCCAGCTAGACGTCAATACGCGACGTTTGTTTATTCTTCGGGACGTAACGCTACAGTGTTTAAAAGTAACGTTACCAGCGCGATACGCAAGTGAGTAACGTTACATTTCTGTTTTCTTTTCGTATTCAAGTTCTAGTTTCCCGAAACTTTGCGTACTTTTATTGATGGTGGTTTGTTTATTCTTCAGCTCTCTGCTCCAGTCAAGCCGCTTCACAATCACCCGCCTTTAAGCCAGAATAAAAATCGTTAAAATGATACGGTTTTAGACGGTGACATAATCGCGATAACTCAAATTTGAATTTTTGAGTTGGCGCGCTGGGTATAAGTTTCAACTCACTTTCACTCTACTGTCAATCATATGTCAAGAGTTGGACACTGACAAAAAGTACCTTGTTTTTAGACTAGTACCATAGTATTTAGTGCCAGATCCCATGGCACATGAATATGGTGATCAAATAGTACCTTGTATATCAATATAGTCGAAATTCCTATTTTTATGGTTAATTTTTCCCATGTTTGCATTGAAAGTAGTTATAAACCGTTTATATTCTTTACTCATGCTATGTCGATGCCACCTGAAATATGTTTTTCTATATTTTCAGATTGTCAGCTTCTGGAGAGTTCCATAGAAGCATCCCAGTCCGTTTGAGAGGACCGGAGAGGATTGCGTGTCAATTTGTTGTATTGCTTTGTGCTTCGTTAATGCTGTGTAAACGTCCTCCAAAGAGTGTCTTTCACGATTGGTGCTGACCAAGGCTGTATAAAAATGAAAAGGTACAGCACAAAGTGCCACCCTAAGTTGCAGAATGTTGTAACATCGTACATACTGCAAAGTTTTTGGAGTGACAAATGCATTTATTAAATGTAAAGAATGCTCATGAACCCATGGTGCGTTTGGGCATTTCTGCCAACATTTTACCTAGTTTGTTGTCTTATTTTAACCAAACTAAAATGTACGCACTCCACTGATTTAATGTAAATGCAATTGTCACTACATGATGACATCTGTACTTTATGAATGTATACGAAATCCAGAATATTCACAGATTAAAAGCTCAGAAGTGGAGTGACGACTGTATTTAGCCTAGATGCAGTGTGAACATTTTCCAACTGAAAATAGGTGTGAAGTTTGAGTCAAATCTGGTTTGAAACTTAATCTGGTTAATCAGATCTGGTTTGAAACTGAATCTAGTTAAATCTGGTTTGAATCTGAAACTGGTTCATCAAATGTAGTTAGAAACTGAATCTGGGTCATCAAATCTGGTTTGAATCTCAATCTTGTTTGAAACTGAATCTGGTTTGAATCTAAATCTGGATTATCAAATCTGGTTTGAATCTGAAACTGGTTCATCAAATGTAGTTAGAAACTGAATCTGGGTCATCAAATCTGGTTTGAATCTCAATCTTGTTTGAAACTGAATCTGGTTTGAATCTAAATCTGGATTATCAAATCTGATTTGAATCTGAAACTGGTTCATCAAATGTAGTTAGAAACTGAATCTGGGTCATCAAATCTGGTTTGAATCTCAGTCTTGTTTGAAACTGATCCTTAGTTAAACAACTACACCGTTATACACTCTTAAAAACAAAGGTGCTTCAAAAGGTTCTTCAAGCGATGCCACAGAAGAACCATTTTTGGTTCCACAAAGAACCATTCAGTCAAAGAACCATCTCTTTCTTTCTTACCTTTTTATAATCTGAAGAACCTTCTTTCGCCACAAAGAAGCTTCTGTGAAACAGAAAGGTTCTTCAGATGTTAAAGGTTCTTTATGGAACCATTTAGACAACAAAGGTTCTTCTATGGCATCACTGTGAAGCACCTTTATTTTTAAGTGTATACTGCTCCGATCTCACCATTCATCTTGTATGATCATTGGGAATAAATGATGGGAGTGAGGTGTTTAGCTACTTAACAGGTTCTGTTTAATTGCTTGAAGTGATGTATTTTATTAGCTACAACACGTGGTGACCTGTCGGTCAACTGATGTCACCAGGCTCTGTATTCTGAAACTCTTCCAAACACAAGAGTTGAGTAGTTGAGCTTGCATGGTGCAAAGCGTGCAATGTATTGCCTAGCAACAGCGCAAGTGGGATGCGCGTAAGGTTAGCGAATAGAAAGCTCGAATACTGTTTCCAGGAGCTCGCGCTGAGACGCTACTAACACGTCACGATCGGCTGGCTGTTGCTGTGTAGTCTCCCCGCTGCCTAATGCTATCCCCTTCTATTGGCAGGTTATGCTTTTATTCCCCAAAGTTGTGTTTACGCGACATTCCTTTGAAGTTCGGACAGGTTTAGCTCTCACTAACTCCCAAACTTTGTCGAGTTAACCTGCCTTCAACGCTGTAGGAGGTTGATCTGATTTTTATTTTACAGCGAATCCCATTTCTGTTTTACAATAGCAAACATCTCCTCAGAATATGATTTCCCACATCTTTCCTCCACACTAAGTAGGTTTTATCTGCAATTATACGGGCGAACCATTTTTTTGTTTTCTCAGCTAACTGACACAATAAGGCCAATAAAGACATGCGTGTGTGTGTGTGTGCAATCATCATTTTAATGCAAGACGGAAAGATATCTTTCTCTCAGGATATTCTCGCCTCCAGCTCACTTGGATTAAATATTGCGCATTTGCAGATTAAGTGCACGAACATCTAAGGTTACCGGAACGATCGGATTTCATCTAAATGGCATTTTTGAGTAGTTTGAGGCTGATCATAAAAAGTACAAAAACCTTAAAATTGATTTTACATTTACCGACTGCACAGAACAAAAAAAAGGTAACACTTTACTTGAAGGGGTGTGCATAAGACTGACATGGCACCTTCATAATCATGACATGACACGTCATGAATATGAATGAGGTTTTATGCATGTTTATGTCATTAAGTGTCATTCGCTCAGTTATGTCATTTTTAATGCAAATATGACATTATTTGACCTAACCCTACCCCTACCCTTACCCCTAACCATAGCCCATAACAAAGACATCTCAAACAATGTCATCTTTGCATAAAAAATGACATAACTGAGCGAATGACACTTAATGACAGCTGTCATAAGCATGCATAAAATCCCTTCATATTCATGACATGTCATGATTATGAAGGTGTCATGTCAGTCTTATGCACACCCCTTCAAGTAAAGTGTAACCAAAAAAAAATAAAAAAGCGACTTTGTTATATAAATTATGGCCATTGAGAAGAGACTGGTTTATATCATTTGAACTTATTGACATATGACAGGTTTCTCAAATTAATATCGAACATCTGCAAAAAAACTCTCTGTAGAGAAATAACAGCTATATTGCATAGTTCTAAAACAACCCCAGCACTCTTGGTTTTTCTCAGCGAGCAGCTCTCGCGCTCCTCCAAGCGGACGTGGAATTGTACGGAATTCCCGACCCGACTGCGCATGCGCGGACGAAAACTCCATGATTATTTTTTTTTGGCACGGGATCCTAAGGAAAGATAGGAACTTGGAAACGAAGATAAACTGAAAGCAGCATCACAAAGGCATTACAGCACACAGTAAAGACGCTTGGGAGCGTTGAATGAAGCGATCGCACGCTCCGCGGCCGAGCAGGATTCACGCGAAATTGGACGACAATGCACGGGGCGCAATAAAACCAAGCGTTATTGCTCTTTGTTTTTAAGCAGGACGGCTCGGATGTGGCTAAAAATCACACGGCGTTAATAACAGCTCCCGCAACGGCGACATTTGCGACTCAAGTCCGTCTTGACGCTTGTTCAGTCTTCAGTCTGCGCCACGAAGAAGCAGGAAACTTCGTAAACACAGAGGTACGTAACGTTAGCCCGCGAGCTACAGAAAGCTAACAGCGCGTCTACGCGACGCGACAAACTAGAACGCTTCCGTTACAATGTTATCAAGACCGATACGTTGGTTATAATCGCGGTGTTATTACGTGTCCAGTAAGCTTACAATACAAATAGGATGTTTAAGAATGGGCCAGCTAGACGTCAATACGCGACGTTTGTTTATTCTTCGGGACGTAACGCTACAGTGTTTAAAAGTAACGTTACCAGCGCGATATGCAAGTGAGTAACGTTACATTTCTGTTTTCTTTTCGTATTCAAGTTCTAGTTTCCCGAAACTTTGCGTACTTTTATTGATGGTGGTTTGTTTATTCTTCAGCTCTCTGCTCCAGTCAAGCCGCTTCACAATCACCCGCCTTTAAGCCAGAATAAAAATCGTTAAAATGATACGGTTTTAGACGGTGACATAATCGCGATAACTCAAATTTGAATTTTTGAGTTGGCGCGCTGGGTATAAGTTTCAACTCACTTTCACTCTACTGTCAATCATATGTCAAGAGTTGGACACTGACAAAAAGTACCTTGTTTTTAGACTAGTACCATAGTATTTAGTGCCAGATCCCATGGCACATGAATATGGTGATCAAATAGTACCTTGTATATCAATATAGTCGAAATTCCTATTTTTATGGTTAATTTTTCCCATGTTTGCATTGAAAGTAGTTATAAACCGTTTATATTCTTTACTCATGCTATGTCGATGCCACCTGAAATATGTTTTTCTATATTTTCAGATTGTCAGCTTCTGGAGAGTTCCATAGAAGCATCCCAGTCCGTTTGAGAGGACCGGAGAGGATTGCGTGTCAATTTGTTGTATTGCTTTGTGCTTCGTTAATGCTGTGTAAACGTCCTCCAAAGAGTGTCTTTCACGATTGGTGCTGACCAAGGCTGTATAAAAATGAAAAGGTACAGCACAAAGTGCCACCCTAAGTTGCAGAATGTTGTAACATCGTACATACTGCAAAGTTTTTGGAGTGACAAATGCATTTATTAAATGTAAAGAATGCTCATGAACCCATGGTGCGTTTGGGCATTTCTGCCAACATTTTACCTAGTTTGTTGTCTTATTTTAACCAAACTAAAATGTACGCACTCCACTGATTTAATGTAAATGCAATTGTCACTACATGATGACATCTGTACTTTATGAATGTATACGAAATCCAGAATATTCACAGATTAAAAGCTCAGAAGTGGAGTGACGACTGTATTTAGCCTAGATGCAGTGTGAACATTTTCCAACTGAAAATAGGTGTGAAGTTTGAGTCAAATCTGGTTTGAAACTTAATCTGGTTAATCAGATCTGGTTTGAAACTGAATCTAGTTAAATCTGGTTTGAATCTGAAACTGGTTCATCAAATGTAGTTAGAAACTGAATCTGGGTCATCAAATCTGGTTTGAATCTCAATCTTGTTTGAAACTGAATCTGGTTTGAATCTAAATCTGGATTATCAAATCTGGTTTGAATCTGAAACTGGTTCATCAAATGTAGTTAGAAACTGAATCTGGGTCATCAAATCTGGTTTGAATCTCAATCTTGTTTGAAACTGAATCTGGGTCATCAAATCTGGTTTGAAACTGAATCTTGTTTGAAACTGAATCTGGTTTGAATTAGGGCTGCACGATAAATCGCATGCGATGTTTAATGCGCATCTTATCAGTAAAGCCGGTTCTGTAATCAGCGGTAAATCTCCATTACCTGCGGGCTTTCACATTGAGCAGAATTAAATACACAGAGCGTTGTTCACTGACGAGCTGCGCAAAACCACGTTCATATTCGTGTGTAGTTAATGCTGCTCAATTTGAAAGCACGCAGGTAATGGAGATTTACCGCTGATTACAGAACTGGCTTTCTGACAAGATGAACTGAATCTGGGTCATCAAATCTGGTTTGAATCTCAATCGTGTTTGAAACTGAATCTGGTTTGAATCTAAATCTGGATTATCAAATCTGATTTGAATCTGAAACTGGTTCATCAAATGTAGTTAGAAACTGAATCTGGGTCATCAAATCTGGTTTGAATCTCAATCGTGTTTGAAACTGAATCTGGTTTGAATCTAAATCTGGATTATCAAATCTGATTTGAAACTGGTTCATCAAATGTAGTTAGAAACTGAATCTGGGTCATCAAATCTGGTTTGAATCTCAATCTTTTTTTAAACTGAATCTGGTTTGAATCTAAATTTGGATTATCAAATCTGATTTGAAACTGAACCTGCTTCATCAAATCTGGTTTGAATCCCATTCTTGTTTGAAACTGAATTTGGTTAATCAAATCTAGTTTGAATCTCAATCTTGTTTGACACTGAATCTGGGTCATCAAATCTGGTTTGAAACTGAATCTGGTTTGAAACTGAATCTGGCTTGAATCTGGTTTGAAACTGAATCTGGTTCATCAAATCTGGTTATCAAATCTGGTTTGAAGCTGAATTGTAAGTGGTTTGTGTCTTTAGGAGCTGGATGTGTGCGAGCAGAAAATGACGGGGGGCAGTGAGAGTGCAGCAGGAGAAAAAGATGGAGGTACGACTCTCATCGCTCAGATCCCGGTTGGCTGGCAGAGGAAGATGGAAGCTGGGGCTGTATCTTACATCAGGTACGTCCACACCTTACTTTTTGTCATTCATACCGTATTGACCCGAATATAAGACGATGTTTTTTTCTTGGAAATGCATCTGAAAAAACGCGTCGTCTTATATTCAGGGTCTAGACTTTGACATGTCAATAATTCACCCACAACAATAGGTGGCGCCAAATACGCATAAAACGAGTGTGCCATGAAATACGTAATGTAATGCGTGTTGTAAAGATCGCGAGTTAAAACAAAAGAAGCAGAAAACCTTACAGCTGCATGAGTCGTGACGGTCACGTTAGCCTGATGGGACCAAACTCCCTTTGCGTTTTTAAAACGTAAGACAGTACCCAGAGTTGAAGACTACAGTAAGATTTAACTTCTACTGTTAATAAGATTTTGGTAGGCTACTATTAGATTGATAGCCTAAATGTCCTAATTCAGATGGGCTACCTGTTTTTTCAATTTTTTTAATGGTATATCAAAAAGTGTGTATTTTTTAAATGTGATTGTTGGTACATTTTACCAGTTTTTACCATACTTTCAAAACAAAAATGAAAATAGGAAAAATATGCAATATGAAAATAATTGAAGACAAAATGTGTTTTACTGAGAAAAAAGGTACATCTGGAAAAAGGGGGGTCGTCTTATAATCAGGGTCGTCTTATATTCGGGCCAATACGGTAATTGCTGTTCTGATCAATTCTGAACAGTGTTGCTACTAAAAGGTACATAAGGAACATTTTTCAAGTTGCTTCACCCAAGCAAACTTTCCTCACACGCATGCGAGTGCGTTTAGCATTCACACTAGAGCTTCCGGTGCAGACAGGTTAATGTGGAAACGGTGCTCCAAACTGGTCTCGTGTAAAGTTTATGTGACGACCAGTACAGTACAGCAATCTGAAAATGAATTAAACACCCATTCACACCAAGAACAACTATATTAGACTGTATTGGCATCCGTACCAACACTCCATAACATTCTGTTTGTTATATATTCGCACGCTTCAGTTTTGTCGTCTGTTGCTTTAAATGCTCGAGCTCTTTAAAGTGGATTCTGATTGGCTGTCAATGTTTTTATTGTTCATCAGCTGGAAAAAGTCGTTTTGAAAGTGATTCCATCAGCCCGCATTATTTCAACTTATTTTAAAATGATTGTGTTTAACAGCATAATGATAAAAAACTTAATAAAGAAATTTATCAATCAGAGAATTGCAACAAGCAAATCGCACCAAAAGAATCCCACGAATGACGTCTCCATTCGATCTCCATATGCATATTTTGCAATAAATGTAAAATGAATTGCATCTACGTATATAATCGACATCATAAAATCAATTCAAATTGATTATTTAATTTGCAATGCTTCATGGTACTTTGAAAATGTTTTTTTTTTAAATGAACACTAAGTTTGCAGCACTGTTACACTCTATTAGAATTAGTGTATAGAATATAGTATAATGCATTTGTCAGTCTTACTCTCTGCTGACGTTGCTGTCAGTGCACAGCATTTCAAATGATGCAAAGAGAGTAAGAACCAGCAAACACACAAATGCCATTCTGTGCTCAAGTTTTAGTATTATAAGCAAAATGAAGAAATCATGAATAAAAACAATAAAGCGTGTCACCTGCTGCTTGTATTCATGTCAGCTGTATTGATGTCTGCAGGGGAAGAGGTTGGAACTGAAGTCTGTTTCGAACCGAAAAATCAAACCAAGTGTAAAAAGAGCTGTCAAACATATCAGTCTTTGTCTATTTCTTCTTCAGCCCAAGTGGTACAGTCCTTCGATCTGTGGATGAGTTGAGGGTGTATCTACGGACAGACGGCACATGTAAGTGTGGTCTCGAGTGCCCGCTAGTCCCAAATAAGGTGAGATCAACATTGAGTGCCGAAGCCTTCTCATTCATGATAGAGTAAGTCATTAGGCATTATAGTTTGCTGCTATGTTTGGAATTAAATACTAGCCTACTTCTGACTGTACTTTATTAATAACATGTGAAACACTATGATATGAATCCTTGTTGATATGTTGCATGTTTTATTTAGCTATCAGCGTCCAATTATTATCTCAGACATCTGATTATTTTAAGTAGACTTTTAAAGTCCTATATATGATTAATACTGGTTTGTTTGTTACACTGGAAATGGAGAGTCAAGTTGAGTGCACTGCTTTGCAAAATGCACACGCAGTGTCTTCTTTGCTCTTTTTGGCAAATGTCATCCAGGTATTCCATGCATACAGAAAGCTTGCTTACTGTGTACTGTATAAACATTGCATACTGCGGAATTAATAAGAGTTGTATGATAATATGCAATTTTAAACATTAACTTTATTGCATGCATTTAAAAAAAAAAAAAAAGTGTCTTTTTAAATTCATGCAGGTCTTTAATTTTGACCCTGCTGCGATGGTCCAAGCTCCTGGTCATCAGTCAGGGAAAATAGAGGAAGACATGACCAAACTCTGTAACCATCGCAGGAAAGTTGATGCCATGGCGGCGTTATGCCAAAGCATGCAGCCGTCCCATCTTCCCTCGTCGGCTCAAGCCACAGGTATTGCATCTTAATGCACACATTATTCCAACACGATGACTTTTTAGAAGGAATATTCCAGGTTCTGTGACATGCTGTCATGACGTGTTGAATTATATATATATATATTTATTTTTTTTTTTTTTATGTATTTATATTAGGGATGCTAACGATTAATCGACAATCGATTAATAATTGATTAAAGCTATCATGGTCGATTAAGTAATTTAGTTTTGGGGTGCGTGCAATAGAAATTCAGTAATCAAGTCAAGTTTACTTATATTTCCCCACAAAGATAACTGTTTCCTCATATGTGACCCTGGACCACAAAACCAGTCATAAGGGTCAATTTTTCGAAATTGAGATTTATACGTCATCTGAAAGCTGAATAAATAGCTTTCCATTGATGTATGGTTTGTTAGGATAGGACAATATTTGGCTGAGATACAACTATTTGAAAATCTGGAATCTGAGGGTGCAAAAAAATCTAAATATTGAGAAAATCATCTTTAAAGTTGTTCAAATTAAGCTCTTAGCAATGCATATTACTAATCAAAAATTAAGTTTTGATATATTTACGGTAGGAAATTTACAAAATATCTAATGATTTTTGGCATCAAAGAAAAATCTATAATTTTGACCCATACAATGTATTGTTGGCTATTGCTACAAGTTTTTTTTTACCACAGTATGATATGTGAAAACATGGATTAAAATAAATGACAAGAAAATAAACGTTTATAATCCCCTGTAAATATATAGAGGGTGAGATGGTGAGGATTTGGGAAAAGAAACTATTATTAAATTCGTGACCAACCCACAAAACAGAACACAAAATTTGAATTTAAAAGCACATTTAAATACAACACATTGTTGTTCCAAAAGCTGTACAGAATCAAGTGACAAATAAAACCCCAATACACCAATCAAAGAACCAAAAAATTGTTCAGTTCATAAACATTGTTCATTTATGATACTTAATGCATTAATTCATGCACAACATTTTTTACAGCATTTACTCATCTTAGTTAAAAGTATTGTTCTGTTAGTTTAATGCATGAACTAATGTTAACAGTAATGTTACCAATTATTTTATTGTCTATTAATATATTAATTATTGTGCCTATATTTTCAAAATGGTGTGTATTAGGGCTGCACGATTAATCGCATGCGATATTTAACGCGCATCTTGTCAGAAAGCCGGTTCTGTAATCAGCGGTAAATCTCCATCACCTGCGTGCTTTCACATTGAGCAGCATTAACTACACAGAGCCGTTGTTCACTGATGAGTTGCGCAAAAAATCGCGCGAATATGAACGTGGTTTAGCGCAGCTCGTCAGTGAACAACGGCTCTGTGTAGTTAATGCTGCTCAATGTGAAAGCACGCAGGTGATGGAGATTTACCGCTGATTACAGAACCGGCTTTACTGATAAGATGCGCGTTAAATATCGCATGCGATTAATCGTGCAGCCCTAGTGTGTATATTAATATTTATTCCAGCATTTAAACCTTAAATGCTTTTTTAAAAGTTCTTTACTGTAAACACAATTTTGACTTATTTTTACAAATTGAGGGACAAGTTGCAATATTTGTCTGTAGCAATCGACAGCATTTCACATATATTCTTCATGGAGCTTAACATTTATTGAACCCAGAACAATTCTTTTAACAGCTTGTCTTAAAGTAAATTACAGTATGTGACCACTGCTGCTCTCTTGGAGTGAAGATTATTCTCTACATCTTGTGTCCAAATATTACTTATTCAAATTACTACATTTGACCAAAGTATGCAGTCACTCATAGTTTGTCTTAAGTATCCAGTTCACTGTATTTTCAGTTTATTTAACTTGTAAACTAAACTGCAACCACCATGTTTCCTTTTTTTAAAAACATTACTAGCCAGATCAGAGTGTGATATGCAGTGACTATGAAAGTATTCACCCCCTTGGAGTTTTTCCATATTTGATTTACAGTGGACTTAAAAATGTGTCATTGATCAACTGTTGCTTTGTTGTTCCATTAGTCACAACTTTATAGAAGATTTGCAAAAAGAAAGTCACTGTTAAAAGATGTCATATGACATCTCAGCTACAGTTTGTCTGAGACATTGAAGCCAACTGGAAGAAGGTTCTGTAGTCTGAGACCAAAATTAAGTTTAGTTTAAAGAAATTAGGTTAGTCTTGAAACCTAATTTGAAATAGTGATTTTTCATGTTGAAATCTGAATATTTTTTCTGTTGTTCAGTGTCATAAAAGCCAACCCTCTATGATTCAGTGTTAAAGTCCTAAAATAAACATTTGCATTTATGCATTTAGCAGATGCTTTCATCCAAAGCAACTTACAAAAGAGGAACCAAAGCAGTTTATCAAAGAGCCAACAACATTCATAATATGCAATGCCATGTTTATTAGACAACTTAGATTTTTTTGGGGAAATGCTTTTTATAGGCACCTGTATTTAAGTCCAGCTTTCTTCAGTAAGGTGAGTTGTATTGTCTGATTGTTTGTTTAAGGAGGTGTTGTATGCTCAGTGGATGGCAGAGAGCTGAGAGGATCAATGGTGGCTCATGGAGACGGCACCCACTGCACTTACCCTCAGCAAAGACACAACCAACCCAAATCCAGCATTGGCTTTCCTCTGTCCTCTCCCCGTGCTGTTGTGCAAAATGGTTCTGTTAGCCTTGCCTCTATTTCTCGGCCTCTAGAACAGGGTTCACCTTTAAAGAAACCTCAAACGCCAGTGGGCTGCATGCCTGGTTACGCGAAACAGCAGTGGAGCCCTCATCCACTGCAAAGGACAGTGCACAGCCCCACTTCTCCTAACAGTGTAAAACCAGGTGTACACATGCATATGCATCCTCCAGACCCCTCCAGTTCCTATTCCTTATCCCCCTCTTCATCCTTTGCGCTGAGTGGTCGAGCAGCTCCGCCACACTCCCAGGGAGCGAGTGTTAAGTCGCCCTCTCCTCTGTCACCCTCACGTACCTTGGACACTTTCTCACCCCACCAACGCTCTCGCCACTCTTCGACGTCTTCGCTCTCAGAACACGGGGTCCAAGGGTCCGTCTTCATTCAGGGGGGCAAACCGTTGCAGCCCACCATGCCGTGCTCCTCTCCCAAGCTTCCTCTTGCGCCTTCCAGTCCATGTAGTCACTTGGAGGGCATCCTGCAGCACTACAAAGACTGTAGTACCGCCAACACAAGCTCCAGTGCTAATTCTAGCAACCAAAGCAACCATCAGATGTCACAAGCCCTGTTGTTGGTGCATCCCAACGCAGGCGACAAGAGGAACGGAGTGAGTTCTGCTCAAGCCCCAGGACTGCTTGGCCTTCCACTAGGAAAGATTCTCAACCAACAGAAGAGCCAGCAAAAGGGCCACATCAATAACTCTTTCCCGGCCAGCAGCCTCCTCTCTGCGGCCGCCAAAGCCCAGCTGGCCAACCAGAAAACCCAGCTCAATGCAGCCGATGCGCTGGCCGCACTCCCTCTTGCGGGCTTGGACAAGGAACAGCAGTCAAAGGTATTGATTAGCACTTTAAACAGTAGCGTCCACCCAACTTCTGCCAGAGCACAGTCCCTGACCGCCCTGTTGCTTCCGCACTCCCCTTCCCTTTCCCCGGCTTCCCCTGCTGTCGCTAAGAAAAATTTGCGGCGCAAACGGCAGAGGCGCTCGCCCACTGTTTTGAGCATGCTCAAAGACTCGCAGTTAGGTCTGACTGCAGGAGATCTCTCCGGGCCACCTCTGCTTATCTCCCCATGCCTTTTGCCACCTTCTCCTCCTGTACCTCACTTAGACAACCACCGGCTACCTGTCACTCTTCCGAATGCCTCCAGGTTGCAGGATTTGGAGGAAGGCAGGAAGCCAGGACTTGCTAATTCCCTCCCACTTTCCTCCCCATCTCCATCCCAGCCCCTTTCCGCCCTGCTTCAGCTTCTTAGCATGCAAAGCGCAACCCAGCAATCCAGCGGCGCCACTGCCATGCCTGGCAACAGGCACACAAACACGTTGCCCTCTTCACCGAGACCAATCACTCCACAGACGCCCCAGTGCAACGTGCAGTCCACATTACGTTTTCTCAACCCCACCCCGCAACCTCAACCCCAAAGCACAGTGCCCATGCCAGAACCTCCTATCCAGCAACCCCCATCCCAACCCTTTCCTTTGATGGGTGACGAGACAACAATGAACCTCAGAACAACCTCCAATAACACCATTCTGAACTTGAGCCAGCCCCACACGGGCACAACGTCGGACCTCAACAGTTCAATTCTGAGCATGATGAACCAGATGTCCTCAACATGCTTTCCCTCATTCCTGGACAAAGGTTGTGGACCCAAAACAACAGAGACTTGTCCTGACCACAGTACCTACCAAATTAAACCGTCAAACCACAACCAAGCTGTGGAAAGTAAAGGTGAGACTTCTTATCTTGTGTTTTTTGGAGCATTTATACATGAAATGTTGTTTAGGTGGTCTGTTTTACACTTGTATTTTCTTGGCAGGTCCTGTAGAGACGATGGATCAGCCGGACTCAGACACAAGATTGCTGGGTGGCTGTGAGCCCGACCACAGCCTCTCTCTGCCCAATGCCCCCTCTTCCGACCTTTCTAATCCCTCAACCGACCCCGCTGTTTCCCTTGCAGAGGCTTTTCCCTTCATGTCCCAAGAACAGCTCCTCCAGCTTCTTTCCTCCAATGCCGGTCTGCCTTCCCTGCTGCCGCCCTTCCTTGGCTCCCTGCCTTTAGGGGTCTGGACGAGCAGCCAACCTTCTGCGCCCGGCAGCAACCAAGCCCAGCATCAACAGCCAGCCAGTGCCATCCTAAACCAGGGCTCTCCTCTCAATGTCCTAAACCAGGGCGAGCTTCCTCTCAACCTCGTGAGCCTGTTAAATCCGTCAGGTTCTGCTGCGCCGCTGCCCCCTGTTGCAGGGCTGGAAGGTGGTGAAAAACCCCCTGGGCTTCAAGCCCTCCTCATGGCTTCGTTGCTGCTCGGCCAGAATCCGGCTGCCATGTTGCCACTACCAGCACTCAACCTGGAGCTTCCTACGCCACCGCAGCAGGTCTTTGCGGACGGAGTGTCCCTGGAGAAGACCCCCGCTCTGCTGGACTCGGTCCTGATGGGGCCGGGGCTCCTGGAGGCTCTTCAAACTCTAGCACCCAGTGCAGACGGCCAGTCGCTACTTCTTTCCGCCTCACTCACTCCACCCCTTCACACCTTCTTGTCCCTCAACCCTGCTCTGCTGGCCGCAGCTCTCGCCCAGACCGAACCCCTACCCAACCACGCACCATCCCCCCCGCCTCATTCTCAGGTACATGCACAGTCGCGCACCAGTTGCATGCTTCGCTACATGTGCACATACAGTCTGCATGCTTCCAATTGATGCATCGGTTTACAATGACAGGGCTTCCCAACCAGATGTTCTCCCCCTAGTGGTTAATGATGGATTTGTGCAATTTTAATACAAGAGTCAATTTCATAAAAACTGGAAAAATAAATGTCAGGGTTGGGGTTAACCTCAAAATCAAAAGGATTGGACATTATATTCTTCTAATTGTGGTATTATTTTCATGACAGTTATGCGCATTTAAACTCCCAGTCTCCACATTTTCAGCCTCCTACTATAATGCATTTACTGTAATTAAATATTATTTATATTATAATTTCCAAGTCATTTTTTCTGGTGCATGCAAGTGTTTGTTTTTTTTGCACTTCATTGAGAATTTGTTTTGAAAATGTGGTCAATTGTCATGAACTTAATCTCACATTGCAAAAAGTCTTAATGCTAAAGGGATAGTTCACTCAAAAATCTAAATAGTCACCATTTACTCACCCTTATGTTGTTCCAAACTCATAACCCATTTTAGTTACTTGGGTTTTCAGCGGAGAGAAAAATATCTTGATTTGTGTTTTGAAAATGAACCAAAGTCTTATGGATTTGGAATGACATGAGGGTGAACAATTTTTGGGTGAACTATGCCTTTAATAAAAATAGGCTTTATTTTATTTATGTGAAATATAATTTTTTCTTTGAATTTTGGAGACATTTTTACACTCAGAATGTCAATGCAGAATTGCCAGTGCTACATTACAGGAGTCAAATATCAGGAAAGTTCACCTGATAAAGGTTGGGAGTCCTTGCTTTACGGGTTGTGCCTTTGGAACATTGTTTTGAGATCCGAGTACATGCATCTTGTGCAATACATATATGAATCTGTGTGGCTGTAGGGGACTCTGTCCAGCCCTGCTCTAGTTTCTACCTCGGTGTCCTGCGGCCCTCTGGTGTCCAGCACGGGGCCGGAAGTGTGTGACCCTCTGGCTGAACAGGACAAGAACAACACCCAGACACCTCATTTCCTGCCGCCTCTACTCGCCCCCGGGGTTCTTGGTAAGTGGATCAGTTTGTCAATGAAAACACTTTAACACTTTACTTCAAGCCTTTATGCATAATGCATTATAAAAGTAGTTTTAATGCATTAATTATGCCTTGTAATGCACCTTATAATGCATTGTGCAATCTCGTGAATAATTGTAACTACAGTTAATACATTATAACACTTATCAATTCATTGTTACATTATGCCTTTCAAATTCGGTTATAATTATTTACGACAAGATATAATGTATTACAATGCACATTATGAATAATTATAATGCATCATACCCTTTAATAACCCTTTATAATGCATTATACATAAAGGCTTTAAGTAAAGTGTTACCTATTTTAAATGTGCCTTTCTTTGGAATAACTATAATTATAAAAATGTATAGTACGTTCTTCTTTCAATTGGTGTGACTTTACAATAACCTCAAGTCTCTAACCATTATACAGCCGAAGAGGGCTTTTGTTTCTTCTGATAGGGACTTCAGTGATAATGTACTTTGTGTTTGCATTAAAAATTTGAAAAATTTAAAAATAAATGCACAAATGCTATAGCTTAATTACAAAAATACTATAATTATATTCCATTACTCCTTTAATACCTTTAATACATGTCTACATTAATAATCTAATACAATTTGATATGAATATCCCACATTTCTGCCACAACATTAGTGTTACTACAGTAAATCCATGGTAAATTGTAGATTGAAAAGCTTCTGACTGTACTGTTGCGCACAGTGTTTCTGCCGTTTTGAGTAACATAATTGAGAAGATCTCATTGCCTTACTGAGAACTTAGTCTGGATTTCAAATTCTTGTTTTCTTCATGCGTTGTTTTTGTCATTATCCTCGTTTTATGTTTCACACTTTGCTCTCAAACAATGGACTGGAAAAAAGACATTTGAATCAAAACATCTTATCATTAACGTTAATCCTGTCCGTCATCTTACATTGATGCAGTTGCTGATGAACATGATGCAGGACGACCGACTGACTGTGTGATGAAGCCTGTGAGCCTAAAATTCAAGATATGAGGGCAAAAAATAAATGACCCTCTTATATTTCTATCATATGATAGAGTTTAGCAATATCACACCAGCAAGAGTGCTGTTTTCCCCAATATCTGCACGATTGCAAATGTGATATTGTAGATTGAAAAGCTTCTGACTGTACTGTTGCGCACAGTGTTTTCTGCCTTACTGAGAACTTAGTCTGGATTTCAAATTCTTGTTTTCTTCATGCTTTGTTTTTGTCATTATCCTCGTTTAATGTTTCACACTTTGCTCTCAAACAATGGACTGGAAAAAAGACATTTGAATCAAAACATCTTATCATTAACGTTAATCCTGTCCGTCATCTTACATTGATGCAGTTGCTGATGAACATGATGCAGGACGACCGACTGACTGTGTGATGAAGCCTGTGAGCCTAAAATTCAAGATATGAGGGCAAAAAATAAATGACCCTCTTATATTTCTATCATATGATAGAGTTTAGCAATATCACACCAGCAAGAGTGCTGTTTTCCCCAATATCTGCACGATTGCAAATGTGATATTGATTTAATACAGTTCAATAAACAAGAAGTTAATATTGTTACATTTTAGACACAATACTGTCAGTATTTTCTATTTTGTTCAATTTCACCGATGAAAATTGTTCCAGTCAAAGCCACAGCAGAACTGAATAACACAGCAGTGATTCGTTACTGAATTAATCTGTGTTTTTGAATGAGTCAGTGATTCAGTGACTTGTTCATAGTCACTTGATTCATTTCTGAGTGAATCAGCTGTTTGAATGAATCGTTTGAATGAATGATTCGCTGACTTTTAGACAAAAAAAAATGTATATTTCAATATTACATTAAAACCATTAATCTCACAGCATTATGATTCTAATTGCAGTGTAAATGCATTTATTTTATTTACAACACTTCAAATGCAGCTTCTGAAAACAGTGTTATGGCCTTAAGTTAAATCGTAAAATCAAAAATATTTCTTTCTAAAACTATTTTTGTAATCTATTGTAGTCTATTCAATGCTTTTCTCATTGAACACTATAATGACTTTAAATGATCTTTTGGCGGGTCATTTCTCAGCCCAAATGTGTGATTTAATATTAAATCAATTAATTGGCACGTCATGTAATTAATTCAATTAAAATTTTGAATAGATTGGCAGGCATACAAACTATTGTGACATGATATTTGATCGTCTACTACTTCGATCGTCTACTTTTTTTTTTTTCAGAACATTTGACCGATTCTCGATTTTTAAATAGTCAGCTTGAAAATGTAACTACAACATGATTCAAACAATTTTTTCTTTACTAACCCTCTAGTTAAAGAAATTTCTATTTCAAGTGCACCACACATGATGCAAATGTTAAACAAATCGCTTGTTAAATATCTTTGCAGAAAAGATGCATGAACTAAAACTACATCTTACAAACTTGTCTTAAACATATTAGATGTTCAGAAATAATACAAGGAAAATGCTTTAAAAAAAAATCTCAGAAGTCAAGGTAATTCAAATTCAAAATGACTGAAGGTAAAACAGCAGTAGACTATAATTAACTATAAATGTTCTGTAAAAACATTGAACAGCAGCTTTCAGCCTGTCACCATGATGCAAACATGAAATATCAGACATACAGTAGTGGTTCTGTACAGGTTTTTATTAGATTACGCTGCTTTGCCACTGTTTTTATGGACGCGTTTGACTGTTGCGCTCACATCTCTTGCACGAAACGGCTTTCTAAAAACACAGCGCTCAAGTTAAAAGAAGCTCAACTCCCATCTTCCTGCATGTTTTCCTATTCCACTGCCTGCGTCGCATCTTTATCAACACAAAAGCGCATTCAGTGAGAACAGCACCTCCTTCTGGTGCTTCACAGAACGGTTCCGACATGCGGTCGGATCATTCATTTCTCTTTACTGTTATCACTTGGCATACTGTCAAAGAGTCTAATTCTAACGTTTGGTGATATTTCTATTCAAATTCGTGATTCCTCAATCTATAAAAAAATAAAATCGTGGCAAAACATTAAATTTGAATTAAAGGCACGATATGTACAATTTTTTTATTAAAATATCCAAAAACCACTAGAACAGTGTTATATATTTTGCTGACTTGTGTACTTACATTATCCCAAATGTTTCGAAAAATGTTTAAATCCAGAGAAATAAGCAATTTTAACTAGTGACACGGAGTGTGTCCATAGTGTCATCGTGTCGCCTGCCAATGACGTCATAACCCCTCGATTTGCGGGAACACCAAAGACGCAAATATGTTGTGCGTTTTAATAGACCGGTGACGACCGCACTAGGGTTGGGTACCGAAACCTGGTACCAATATGGCACCGGTACCTATGTGCCTTGGACCTACAAAAATGTGTCCGGCCGGGATTTCTTAAACGCCCAAAATGTCCGGGATTCGGCTGTTTTCTTAATCTCGCTCCCGCTGAATCTCTGACCATTGCCGCCTGCTCCCGCAACATGTGTTTCACTCACGCGATTTTCGTGTCCACTCCTTTAAACATTCTAATATTGTATATAATTTTGGCGAATCAGGGAGCCGCTCTCGGTATGCGGAGTATTTAAATATTTTTGAATGAGCGTTTGCGCCGTTTACTTTCACTTTCGATTTCGTGATCACACGCACTCTGTGTAAAGTTAGCACATCTTACAAGATCAGATATTTGTCAATGAGCTCAGAATCCGTTTAGGCACCGGAACCGTTTTAAAAGTATCGATTTGGCACCTGTATCGAAAAAAAAACAAATGATACCCAACCCTAGACCGCACAGAGTAGCATTATAACAGAACTTTCAAATGTATCTAGTATGATAAAACAGCGCTGCTTTACCCCACATACGCATGACCGGAATAATAATAATAATGACTGTGGCATAATAAAAGCTCCGCTGCTTTCCAGCCGTGTGTCGCGCTCTTCAGCGCCTCGTTTCGCTTCGATGGCTTTCAGCCTCACCCTGTTAATAAATCATTAGCTCATCCATGAACATGATTTCTGCCCGAGTCCCGTCGGATTGCATCGGCTGTGCAGATGAAGACCACAACTCCCATGATTCCACACTCAGTCACAGCGTCATCAAACTACGCCTTTGTTTTGAATACGCGCCCTCTAGTGTTGAAAACTTACATACTGTGCCTTTAATCGATAAAATCGGAAAAATCGCCCAGCCCTGCTACTATAATGTTCTTATTGTAATTTGCTTCCCCCAGTGTCTTCTCTATGAATAAGCATGAGCGTTTGAGCTGCCGATGATGATGGTGTTTCTCTCTGTGCTCAGGTGACCTCGCAGCTCTTGGGAACATCAGCAGTCTTCACGGTTTATTGGGAGCCGGAGCGCTGCTGCTGCCGCAGGGCCCGTCTCTGAGCGTCCCGCTAACACAGAACCAAACAGCGCTCAACCCGCTCACCTGTCTGCAGGTAAACTCACGCACCGCGAGCAGACGGCTCTTTACACACCTAAGAGCATCAGTGCTTTAAAAGGCATGAGTTCAGATGGGTTCGTCAGTTAAAGCAGCTGTAAATTGTCGTCATGAGACAATCTTCACCACCTTTCACAAACTTCAAGACCGTTACCGTCAGATTCAGATCCAGTTGTTGTGCAGAATCTGTTAGTTACCCTCTACATTCTTGAAAAGATGTCTAATCTTTTTTTTTATGTCTTTTAAAAGAAGTCTCTTCTGCTCATCAAGGCTGCATTTATTTGACCAAAAATACAGGAAAAATTTGTGAAATATTATGATGTAAAATAACGTTTATCTATTTTAATATACATTAAAATGTAATGTATTTCTGTGATGCGCAGCTGTATTTTCAGCATCATTACTCCAGTCTTCAGTGTCACATGATCTTCAGAAATCATTCTAATATGCTGATTTATTATCAGTGCTACAAACAATATTTTTTTGGAACCTGTGATACTTTTTTCAGGATTCTTTGATGATTAAAAAGGTAAAAAGAAGAGCATTTATTTAAAATAGAAATATTTTCTAACAATATACACTACAATTCAAAAGTTTGGGGTCAGTACATTTTTATTCTTTTTTATTTTATTTGTACTTTTATTCAGCAAGGATGTGTTAAATTGATAAGAAGTGATAGCAAAGATTTATATTGTTTTATCAAATTTATATTGTATATAAATTTATATTTATATTTTGAATAAATGCTGTTCTTTTGAACTTTTTATTCATATCGCAGTTATATTGTTTCCAGCTCTGATAATAAATCAGCATATTAGAATGATTTCTGAAGATCATGTGGATCATGTGA